ACTCGCTTGAGCCCAGGAGTTGGAGGTTGCTGTGAGCTGAGATGCCACGGCACTCTAACCAGGGGGACAGCTTGAGGCTCTGTCTCAAAAAAAAGAAAAAAAAAACTTTTCCAAGGCAGCTGCACCACTTTACATTCCCACCAGCAACACATCAGAGTTCTAATTTCTCCACATCCCCAACACTTATTATTTCCAATTTTTTTGTTGTTGTTAACAGCCACACTAACAGGCTACCTAAATGTGCTTCTGATTTGAATGTTCCTAATGACTTCACACGCTTGCAAGTCATTTGCGTATTTTCTTTGCAGAAGCATCTATTCACATCCTTTGCCACTTTTGAACCGGTTTTCTTTTTGTTGTTGTAGTTCTTTAAGCATTATACAACTTAACTCTATCAGATTTAAGATGTGCAAATGTTTTCTCCCATTCTGTGAGCTGCCCACTGGATTTTAAAATAATAACGGCAGAAGACGATGCAGGGCTAACAGAGAAAAGAACGCCTTCCTTGCTGCGGGCTCCCAACTTCCCAGCGGGCTTTTAAACAAAATGCTTCCCGCCTCCGCCGCGACAGACACCGGGCCTCCCGCGACGCGCTCCACACAAAGGGGCGCTCTCGCCCCTCTCCCGCCCCGTTCAGGGGACTAGTCCTTCCCGCCCGGCGGGTTGGCCGCGAACCGCCGGCCCAGGCCCTTTGGTCCTCGAACTCACCGCTTCCCCTCCCGGACCCAGCACGACTGGGTCAGGGGCCGGATACCGGCCCGACCACGCCCCTCCCTGCCTGCTTCCGCTCCTCACCGGTCCCGGCCGCGACCGGTGTCAGGGTGACCAAAGGACGCGGGAAAGGCCCGGTCTGCAGTCGCCGGCAGGTCAGCAAGGCCCAGCGGCTCGGCAGCCTCCCGAATGGCGACTAAGCACAGCAGCCGGGATCCAAGCGCGCGAGCGTGCGCGCGACCGCGGAACAGATGGGGCTGACGGGAGGAGAGTTTGGCGTCGCGCGCCCTCCCGCGCGGACCAATCAGATCGCCGATCGCGTGGCGCCGCTGTGCCGAGAGAGCGTAGGAGTAACGCGTATCTCCGGCGGAAGTCCTGAGGACCCGCCCCGCACCGGAAGTACCGCACAGGCCCGCCCCGCTTCCTGCGCGTTCCTGCGCGGCGAGCTCCTGAGGATTGTGCGGTGGTGTCCGGGTAGTGTGGGCGCTGCTCTCTCTTCGTTTTCTTGCTTTTTTTTTGTTGTTGTTGTTGTATGAATGAATTTATTAGAAAAACAGATACGATGAGACTCCGCCCCATACATTCTTAGTGATACCACTGCCATAATGCCCGTGACGAAAATCCAAAACAAATGATTGGTGAATATTTCTAGTCACCGTCCTCCACAATTCCCAGCCCTCAGAACATCTATTTTTTTGTTTTTAGTTCCTATGACTGTTAACCACCACGACTCTAAAATTCATGCACCTGTAGTTTTGATATTGCAAGTCTGTACACTTTGAAAGATTGTGAAATTGGTTTACTTAACACTACACCTACCAATTTTTTCTCGATTTTTTAATTTTAGTAAAATATACATACCATAAAATTTGCCATCTTAACCATTTATAAGCGTACAGTTTAGTGGTACTAAATACATTTATAACGTGTAGCAACCACGATCATCCATCTTCATGACATTTAACCATCTTGTAAAACTGAAACTTTATACCCATTGTGACCCAAATAAATGTCGGAGGCAAAAATCTCAATGAATGAAGGTTTATTAATCCAAGATTTTGACTACCTTCCTGGGAAAACGACAAACTGTGGCTCTTTTTCGTGTGGGTAAATTGGAACAGCCAGCACTTCAAAGGCAGAGAGAGAAGGGGGAAATGCAGGGGACAGGGCTGATGAGGCAAAGTGGTTACATTCTTGTGGGGCCCATTTTTTAATAACAGAAGAGAGTAAAGGAAGCTTCAATTATGGAGATGTCCCAGGGTTGGTGGAAGAATGTCTGATTCTGTCTTATTTAAAGTTGTGTTACCTGTAAGATAAATTCGTAATTCATTATTACTGTGGAATTGGAAACTTTTTAGTTTTAGGTGCTAGATATAGGTACAATTTGTATGTCCTTGCTTATGGGAGGTCAGAAGGAATCTCCTTAATGAATGATGTGTGGGGCCAGCTCTTCACAGATTCCTGAGGCTTGACTTTCTTTCTTTTTTTTT